AGAATAGAATCATCAGGTATGCTACACTTATTGAAACCGATTTGAATAGTTATTCTTAAAACTTGATTTTCATACTTGACTTGCTTTCAATAATTATGAACAAATAGAGAGAGCTGTGGAACACAAGATCGTTGTTCAAGAATGAGAGTTAGAATAATTCATACTACACGAAGAATACTGTTTCTAAAAAAGAACGACGACTGACTGCATACAAGAAAATGAACACAAATAAGAAGACGAACTTTTATGCTCTCCAACCCTATTCAACGACTTCGTTTCTTATCCCTTCAATTACTTCTTCTGAATTTGATTGGTCTTTAATTCCCTTTCTTAATGATTAGTTAACAAATCAGAATACTAACAATGATCTGTCTGTTGCTGCATACATGAGTTTTTCAATTCTGTACCTGGAACTTCGCATGCCTGTGAAGTTCTATAGTTCCTGAAACATTCTAGTAATAGTTCTAGTGAGTTTACCAAAAAAAAACATGATTGAAAAAATAATCTGCTAACTTCCCGTAGCAGATCATGTTTTTCAAAGATTATCGGATTTTATAGATTTCAACGAGATTTAGAGTTCTACATGGTATTTGTGAATAGTTCTACCTTTAGAACTGCACAAAAAATATTTTCAGCAATTTATTTCGAATATGTACAAAACGAGTACAGTGACGCTCATTACATCTGCTCATATATAGGCACGAGTTCTGAATTATAGTATTTGTGCTCTTCCATGAATATGACAAGAGTTCTATGTCTGTGAAGTTGGCATATCAAGTCCTAATATATCAAAAATAAAATGGAGTTCTATTCGGATACAGTCGAGTTCTATAGTCCCTGATACATTTTAACAATAGTTCCGATGATTTAGTGCAAAAACCAATAATTCATAAATGATATGCTAACTTCACACACACAGAATCTTCAATGTCACAGCTTTTTACCATAAGAATGATCGATAGAACTCTCTGAGAACTACCCAGAACTCCTGAAACTCTTCATTTTTCTCCAACGAATGCAGGACTAAATTGGACATATGTTGTAACGTGGCATCCGTGGGACGGCCAGTTACATAAAAGCATAGGGGCACGTAGAGCCGTGTCGCCAACGAAAGCCGCCAAGAGAATGCCGATGACGACGAAGGTTCGTGACAAGGGGAAGCCGGGGAGAGAAACCGGGGAGAGACCGGGGGCCACTTCGCTGCGAACCGCGGAACGGAATACCGAAAATCGGCGGATAAGGTACCGCGATTTTTCCGGTTTGAGTGTGGTGAGAGTGTGTGAGGGTTGCAGGACCTGTTGGGCAACATGGCTTTTCCCCGGACGTGATATGGAATTCGATCTATCTACGACGACGGCGCTCCTACGGAACTCAGAGGATAGAGGAAGGAGACGGCCGACGAGGAGGAAAAATTGCCAACCACCACCACCCGAGTGACGAGGAAGGAAGGTACGGTTCACCGGAAGATTCGGTAAGTGCAGTTTAGGCGACCGCCCCGAAGCCATGCAGCCGGGGATGAAGCGCATCCGCCGGTGCATCTTGGCACGAGGAGTGGGGGGCTGCGGGCCTCGCTACGGGTCCTAGCGGTACATATTTGAACCGACCACCGTCAACAGGGATGACCTCCGCGACCGCGTTGTGTATTAGAATTGTATAGAGCAGCGCTCGTATACATCACCCGACTGTACTCGTTTACCTAGGCAAAATAAAGGGTTATTGTTGGAATTAAATCCCACCGTGTTAGCCATTACCAAAGAAGCCGGCTGATTCCTGTAGATACTCGCCGCCCTCACGTTCCCCTCTACCATGTCGGATTAGGAGCTAACGGGAAGATCCGCTCGAAAAGACTCCCGGAATTGACGTGCCGCGGATTAGAAATTAAAGGCCCGACGAGTCAGGCTGGTGCAAGGATGCACCTGGCGCCCAAGGGATCCGCGGAATGCCACGTTGGGGTCGCGGATAGAACGTAGGTCAGGAAATGCGTTACAAAATGGCGCCCGACGTGGGGCCACGCGAGAAAGATATACCAGCCGGCCATGTTTTGACTGTATTGGGGTCGCGGATAGAACGTAGACCAGGAAATGCGTTACAATGTATATGATGACTTATTGACTAATCGTTCCTGTGCAAGTGGTAAGAACAGAGTATATCCTGATGTTCTTCTTTACGTTAAATTATAAAAATATTGCTATAACAAACAAGATATTTAAGAAATTTTCAACAAAATTACAAACACATGAGATACGAATCTTGATATACGAAAACTGTAAATAACCTGTGTATTATATTTGTATTTTATTAAACTTTACTATTTTTTTATTGAAGTTTTATCATAATACTTGACCGAACGATTGAAAAAAACCAAAAACGTCGAATATAAGTCCGGTTAGTAATCTATCTTTTTTTTATTGCAACTAATTATCTTTTTCTTGAACTTGTCTCATCGTATTGCTTGTCTGATTTTTGTTTATCGCTACTCAAGTCAGTCAACAACAAAAATGAAGAGTTCCAGAAGTTCTGATGGGAGTTCTGGATAGTTCTCAGATTTCTGTCGATAATTCTTATAGTAAAAAGCTAAGAAATTAAAATTGAAAGAGTTCTGTGACTTCGAAGATTCTCCGTAGCAAGTAGAGTAAATTCGAAAAAACAAAAAAATGAAGAGTTCCAGGAGTTCTGATGGGAGTTCTGGGTAGTTCTCAAAGAGTTGTATCGATAATTCTTATGGTAAAAAGCTGAGAAATTAAAATTGAAAGAGTTCTGTGACTTCGAAGATTCTCCGTAGCAAGTAGAGTAAATTCGAAAAAACAAAAAAATGAAGAGTTCCAGGAGTTCTGATGGGAGTTCTGGGTAGTTCTCAAAGAGTTGTATCGATAATTCTTATGGTAAAAAGCTGAGAAATTAAAATTGAAAGAGTTCTGTGACATTGAAAATTCTGTGTGTGTGAAGTTAGCATATCATTTATGAATTTTTGGTTTTTGCACTAAATCATCGGAACTATTGTTAAAATGTATCCGGGACTATAGAACTCGACTGTATCCGAATAGAACTCCATTTTATTTTTGATATGCTAGGACTTGATATGCTAACTTCAGAGACATAGAACTCTTGTCATATTCATGGAAGAGCATAAATACTATAATTCAGAACTCGTGCCTATATACGAGCAGATGTGATGAGCGACACTGTACTCGTTTTGTAAGTAATGAGTTGCGAAATAAAATAAAAATAAAATAAAAAAGTTTTGTCGAAATAAGCTGTTGAAAATATTTTTTGTGCAGTTCTAAAGGCAGAACTATTCACAAATAACATGTAGAACTCTGAATCTCGTCAAAATCTATAAAATCCGATAATCTTTGAAAAAAATTATCTGCCACCGGAGGTTAGCAGATTATTTTTTCAATAATGTTTTTTTTTTGGGTGAAATCACTAGAACTATTACTAAAATGTATCAATAACTTTTTTCGATATATAGCGGTTTATAAGATATTTCGTTCCAAACACAGGTATAACAGATGACTCGGGAAAAGAGTCTCTGCGAGCCGGTTGCCTGTACTTGGCGCGAGACTCGACCGAGTCTCTTGATGTATGGATTCGGATATATAACAATATGTGCGGGTTGGCTATGGATATAAGTGGGCGAATGACGTATATAGGAAGACCAAGACGTAACACTAACTTTGAGTCCTTCAAGATGTTCAATAACTTATGAGAGAAAACAAGTCAAAAAATAAGTAATATTGCAACAGCTATCCCATGCACTGAAAAAGCTGTCAAGAAGTAGATTATTCAATTTTAACAACAAGGAGAAAACGGATTCAAGGATCATCGGAAGAATAACAAACGTCCAAACGTTGAAACGTACAAACCAAGAGATAAATGACTTGTCCAAAATATGTTGTATCCACAAAACGGATTGGGCAAATTACTTGTGCGATGTGGCGCTAGATCACTCCTGCTGGTCCTGGAGAATTAGTTGAAATATCAACTCGTATGAACTCTAAAGAATACATCAAAATATTTGAAAATGTCCTCGTTCTTAGTGTTCAAGCTATATATTCTATGAATGATATGCCGTCAATTAGGCTGATGATATGCCGTCAATCCGCGATTCTCCGATAGATCCGCTATCGCCCGAGCACGGAAAAAGAACTCATTTTCTCGGAGTCCGCCGAACACCCGAGTCCTTACACACGGACTCCCCGCGACACACTCCTCGCTCCTACCTACCGCTCTCCGCGGTAGGTGGCCGGTCAAAGTTCCCGGGGTACCGAAAGTGCGTCCCGGCGGTTGAGCACCCCTTACGTGCGGGGTCTCAACCCAAAAGGGCCCCGTGCCTCCGCCGCCAGTCCACTACTTTCCCCCGTTCCCTCCTCTCGAACCACGAACCTACGAACTCTGGAGATGGAGGCCAGAGGCACTGCCGAGTTGTCGGCAGCGCGCGGAGGTGCGGGACTTTTGTAACGGGTCGTTCTGACGCCACGTTACAACATGTATATACAAATCGCGCGAAATGGCCAATTTGTAACTATAACTTTGTTATCTGACAGCATAGAAACGAGCTTGTCCATTATTTTAACAATAATAACATTTTTTGGAGGAAATGGTGTGTCCTGCAAAAAGATGTGAGCTTTTGTATTTTGCATTATTTCTAAGATATTTCATTTACAGGCATTGAAACACCGTTTTTAAAACTCCATTTTATAATTTTATTAATTGCACATATCCTATACATGAACCACGTTCCTCGTGCTTCGATATATTATGTAGAACCTCTATATATAGGTAATTAGATTTATGATCTGCGTAAATTATCTAATAATTTCGACCGATATTGATTAGCCTACTTACATTTTACATGTTACAAGATGTCTTACTACACAAATGTGTTGTATGTGTTTCCTACCATAATTTTCATTTATTATAAATTGAAAATCTAGTTTAATTTCGCAATGCGATTATATTAATTAATGTAACATGAGAAATTCAAAAAAGTGTATTACCTGAATACGTCGTTCATTTCTTATCGCACGAATTTCGCTTATTTTTGATAAGGCTTTGCGTATTAAATCTTCTTCTTGCTGAGCATCTGAAACGGCAGCATTATAAAGATTTTTCAACCTTTGTTGGTAATAGAGTGAAACTTTGTCATCAGGAGTAATCTTCTCGTGAGCTTTTACGATATTATTTAAATTGTGTTCTGAGCGGTTTCGTTCGTCTTCAACTTCATGAACCAAATGATAAATATTTTTTAGACGCTCCTAGACAACAAAAACAGTATTTTTTGTTATTCGAATACAAAATAAATATATAATTGAATATACAATACTTCGAAAAAGTCGCCATCTCTGATTCAACTGCAATTTATCACAGAGGTTTAACTTTATTCGAAAAGAATATCTCTAAAAGGATTTTCAGCAACTAGCTTAGGGACAAAAATAATATTAAATGAATCACCCCCGCATGGTCTTTGATGTTTCTTAAAAAAATGAAACAATAAAACAATTTAGAAACAGATATATACTGTGACGTAAATGACATCACAAACTCTGAAATAAATAACTATTGTGTTTATAGATCAAGACGTAATATCGTCCTTTGCACAAAAGTAACGAAGAGTATCGGCCAGGAATCCTGATTAGAATATTTATAAAGAATTAAGCTAACGTTACTGTTAAATATATTTCATACATTTCGTATCTTGATACGAAATCGAGAGATCTCCATCTCGCTGCAAGGAAAATCACTACGAGATCAAGGATAGTTGAGGATAATCGACGCTACCTGACGCCTCCACCCCGCCGCCGAGGGCTCCCAAATTAAGTATGGGGCCAGCAACGAAGAGAACATCGATATGGACCATCACGATGTTGTTTGTACCGATGTTCCGAAATGGGATCATTGCACGTATCGAGAAGAAAGGGGAACATGAAGAGCTACCCTGGCGTGAGACGTCATGAACCTCCGCCGCCTAATATTAAAAATTAACTGTTCCATTTCTTTCTTCCTGCTTTCGGCTTACGAGAAGACCGCGTTAGATGTAGAATAGCTTTCATGAATCAAAATGTATTTCTGCAATCGTCAATGACTTTATAGTGAACAAGAAATCCCAGGAAAGAAAAAGAAAATCTACATCTCATGCCAACCACAAACAGATAATTGAATAAGAAATAAATATTCTGAATCCTCATATGACATTAATTCTGCAGTGGAGTCACTACCGGTTTCAAGACCTCACTCATCGTTTGTTTGATGCTTTCTTTACCCAATTTTATCATTCTATGCTTCTTACGAATCGCATCGCTGGCTTTAACGATTTGATGTAAGACGTCTTTTCGCTCTTGAAGTTCTCTGCGTTGCATGTTGCCGTTACTGAATCTGAAACACTACTGCATTCGTTTTTTCATTGATCATTCATTTATGCTCACGAACCAATCGAATCTTTTTCTGTATCTACCTCCGTCGACCTCGCTATCCTTGTCGATTACGAGAAACCCATACTTATCACGGTTCCCGCATGTCGAACACAGATCTTTGAACTATCCGTAAGTCATATCAGTGTTTAAATGGTCATCGTCCACATGCTTGTGATTAGATAGGATAGGATAGGATAGATAGAAACAGTTAACATCTCTGTGCCGCCTCATGCTGAAGAGGGCTCTGATGTTATATTGCTTCTCGCGAGCTATCTCGTCGTAAATAATTATCCAAGGGTGGACAATTATGCCGTCAAACGAGCGGGTGGTAAACGTAACGTTGGAGCACCGCGCGTTCTACCCTTCAAATTCGGAGGCTCCTATTGCTTTTCGTCCCTGTGTTTTGCGGGTCTAAGTGCCGCTGGAGCATTAGCCAGTGGTGTTGCAGGAATAGCCAAAGCCGTGAATCATGCGAACGCAACCTAAGAGCAGCTGAAGGACTGATAGCGGCATAACAAAACAGTGGAAGCCATCTCACTTGGCAAAGGATTGTACTTGAAACCCTACAAAAAAGGATTAGGTCTACATCTAACGCCAACAAATTTGAACTGAAACTACCTCATCGAGCGTTGACCGATGCGGATCTGCTCAAATACGCCAAGATCATGAAGGTTCCACATTTTCGAGGAGTCTTCATGCTGAACGCTATGCCGAAAGATGAACCATACAAGTACGAATCGGCAATCATCAATTTGAACGACGAAGATGGTCCAGGAACATACTAGATCGCGTACAAGAAGCTGAACGATCAAGTCATTTATTTCGACAGTTTTGGCAATCTTCGACCACCGGTAGATCTTATCGGATATTTTTAACGGCGATGATGTTGACCAGGTTTCTAGCCACAGAAAACTTATCCGCTTATCAGATATCTCGGTGTTGGTAGTATAAAATACAATTACAAGCGATATCAGGAGTACGATACTTTTGCATGTGGACACTTGTGTCTAATGTTCCTATGCGGGCAATTAAATCGTAAAAACAAGTATTGTCTATATAAGGTTGCTATGTAATTTCACAAGGTCAGTTGAGCGTTTACAATCATGGAGGATTTATTCACATTAACTTTATCAGGCACCTCCTCCATACTGGAAGCTAAATACTTCCCTCCTATCGAACTTTCCCCGTACAAAAATTATGCTCTGGGACTCATCGAACTGCTAATCTTCAATTCGATTCCCAACGTGGACACGGATCACAACAAGCTCTACGTAGGGGATGAAGTTATCACTATACCTACTGGTAGCTACGAAATCGAAAATATCGAAAACTACGTGCATAGCGCGTTGACGGACAAGAGCATCGTCATTCAGATTAAACCTAACAATAATACGTTGTGCAGCGAAATTACATGTAACCGTGCTGTCGACTTTCGACCCAATGATTCCATAGGCCGCTTGCTGGGCTTCACTCATTGCTTCCTGAAAGCTAATAAATTACATACGTCCAACGTGCCATTCTCAAGGTTAACGCTCTACGAGTCGAATGCAACGTCACTACGGGTGCTTACATCAACGAATGTAAAGTGCACACCATACACGAGTTCTTTCCGATCGTACCACACGAATACATGATCGTAGAGGTGCCATCGCACATCATTTACCTACCGATCTCTACCAAGACGATAGATCACCTGCAACTTCGAATAGTCGATCAAGACGGGAAGCTCGTGAATTTTCAAGGAGAAGTCATAACGATCAGACTGCACGTCAGATCTATGCGATAATGGGTGTCGTCTACAATAGGAAAATTGGCAGTGGTTATAATAGTAAGCCGATATGCCAAAGAGGGATCAGTCGTCGACCGCTTCTTAAGGCGCTAACTCGGCGAAACGTCTTGTTTCTGGAAAATCTAGGATTCAAAGTCACAAGAGGAAAGTAAAGCGTTCGTTCTGTTGCATTCTTTTCGTCTGTCGCGTACCGTGGAGGAAGAAACGCTGAACATTCACACACCGATCGTCTTCGATGAATCTATAGCACACTGTGAAACGCACGTGCATCAACCTTACGCCTCATTAACATTCAATAACAGTGACGAGGTTCGAATATCCGTTAAACATCAAGACCTTTGCTTACTACCCACCAGAAATTCGCTGCACATGTATGGCAATCTCGTCAAGGAAGATGGTTCCACAACGGCTACGAACACCGTTCTGGCCAATAAAGACATTTGCCATTTCTTCGAGGAGATTTGCTCTGAAATGAATGCTATAGAGATCGACCGGAACAAGAACGTCGGTTTCACAAGTCTCATGAAGGGATATGGTTTCCTGAGTTCCAGTCAACGATCCTTGATGGAGAATGCCGGTTGGCTCGACGTCAAGGGATAAATTCACAATTGCAGACGGTTACTTCAACGTATCCATTCCGCTGAGTCTGATCCTGGGTTTGCACGATCGTATCGTAGAATACAATCCGATCAGTGGTGGGGTGAAAAAATTTATATAAAGAGGCTACAATCGTCTCTCCCTGCGCAGTTCATCAAAAAAATGGAATTCATCGTGAACGTACAAGGTACCAAGAAACCCTTGAGCGACTTCGTCCTGAAGGAGCTATCCGTGATTGGAGTTGGCAGCTATTTCTCCGAGTCTGCAATGTTTCTCTTTCAACCACCTTGTCCATGGAACCATCTACCGGCTAAATGCAAAAGTATACATTTGTGGTTGGAGCGCAATTTTCATAGTATATCCTGGAGCGCTGGGGACGTTGCTTACAATCAAGCTAAAAACATTCTTCGAGTCATCTTGCAAAATGCATCTAAGATCTACATAAGGATTGAAGAAGAAAATTTGGTTGGGAGCTTGCATTGGACGATCCGAGCACATCGTGGATCTGGGAGATGTGGGATGCCCTTCGCTGCAAAAATTGCGAAAAAACTCGCTTACTCGATGTACGAATCATCATCCTCCACATTTTAATTGCTCGACTGAAAATGTGACATTTTTAAGGAACTCGTTGTCGAAATGTATATTTTTTGATTATGAATTATGACATAAGATATAATAAGATGTATATTTATTTAACACGCATACATAGTAGTTGAAGCACGAGTACAAAGTTTATAGACATTGGAAGTCGATCTGGTTGTACCGTCCGCCGAGATAACGCATGAGGACTCGATTCTCCTCACAGGTTTGCACCATCTTTTTCAATAGATCCTCGTCGTCATTCAAAGCTTTTGCAATCCTTGCAGGTAGAAACGTCGAAAAGCTGTCTTCTGTATTGAGGATCAGTCTCGTTCCATATTTGGTTCGAACTCTTCTTATTCTGGTGATTTTGTATTCTTTCTGGGGTTCCAACTCAGCCAATTTCTTTGTCGGAAGATAGTCATGCAAACGACCGACTTTGTTAATTGTTGAGAAATCCATTTTTTACTGTAGATGAAGTTTTTTTTTAGATTTCGTAGAAGGCTGTTTTAATTTCTTTTAGCTTCGATCAAATGTTTCACTTCTGCGATATTCTTTAATAGTAACTGTATTCGAACTCTGAGCTCGCGTTGTTTCCTCTTATTCGGCATCGGTCGAATTGTCACAGCAAACTAACGAAGGTACGTTCAGCTCCTCCTTTTATAGAAAACTGTTAAGGGTTAAAATGGGGATAGGAGGTTTCAGAAATTTCTAGGAATTGAATCGCCGGCGGAGATTCCTGGAATTAATATCAAGGTCGATGCATCTTCCAAACGGAGTGACTTACGTTCTAGAATATTCGGATGAACCGTAGCCCTTCTCCTACGAAGTTGTGTCGCGCGCTTACGTATCTCCTACGAGTAATTTGAAACCTCGGAGA